AGAGAGAGAGAGAGAGAGAGGGAGAGAGAGACTCCGCAACGGTCGGGGGCGCACTAGCGTGCGGGTAAGGGGAGCAATCCTCTTGCCCCTAGCCCTGGCGAAAGAAGAAAGAGAGAGAGACAGAGACGGAGAGAGGGACACAGCGAGAGCGAGAGAGACAGCTGCATCGCACCGGCATCGTGCAGTCGCCCCGCGAGAACTGCCGCAAAGGTAGCTTATCGGGGTGGCGAACGGATAGCAGCTGGCGTGAGTGACGACGATGAGCACATTCGCCGATGATACTCTTTGCTATTGCTCACGCCTCTTGATTCTTCATCACCAGTTCAAGGCTAGAAGGACAACGTCACCGACTTCGTTACAATGAGCAAGGTTTGTCCCTCTCTTCCCGTGCGGCTCCAAAGTTGCCCACAGCAAGCTTCTTGTGGTTACCTCACGGGCCAAGTGGCCCTTCCCATGTCGGAACACTCTAACACTTTGCGCTCGCGACAATTGCTGCATGTTGCCCCAAAAAAGCACTCTTCGGAGATTGCTTCGGTCGTTCAGTTTCATCCCCTCAGAGTACACAGGCATCACAAGCTTCAAGCTGCGCTTCCCTTTATGATAGTTGGGCTTCTGCTTCCAGAGCTTCAGCCCCTCCGCGCAGTGTTTCAAGCTGGCATGACAGCATGCAAGAGAGTAATTGCTTCTCAGTCGTCGTTCTTTGAAGTGGTGTTCTTGATGCTGCTGCGGTTTGTTTGTTGTTGCAGCTGGATGTGGTGGTGATAGTAATATAGTAGCAGACGGCGTGAGTGGCAGTGGTGTTCGCAGGGCCGTGAGAGTGATACTTTTCCTGGCTGTGTTCTGCCACCGTTGCTGCTGCCAGTTTTTTCCTGTTACTTGTATCATTCCCATCGTGATGGCCGATTTCACCATGTAAGGGCTCACCATGATGATGACCAGCAGTGTCATCTTTGACTAGACCTCTCCCCTTCCCCAAAGGCTCCATGTACCCGTACAGTATGTAATTCGGCCTCAAAGGGGTTCCTACATAGGTACCTCAAAGGCCTATATACCATACGGAGTCCATACGGGCACATGGAGCGTTAGGGTTCTCTTTCAGAATCGAAGAAGCACCCTAAATCCTAAACCCCTGAACCCTAAACCCTAAACAAGAAAGGAAATGATCCTCAAAGACACCTGCAGCTCGGACTTCGAGTTCGCCGCTCTTCTCAAGTTCATCGGACTGCCCTGAAGTAGTTCCTTTTTGGGTTTATATAGAATCCTATAAGGTAATCCCAAAAAGGAACTACTATGGGGCCTATGGGTATACTATAAGGGTTCTATCCTGAATCATTGGAATAGGTTGTAGGGGTATGTTATGGTGTAGTTGCATAGTGTGCAGCTTCGGGGCTATAGTTCTGGGCTCAGGATGATCGGAGGAAGCACACCTTGGGCTGAACTTACTCCCCAAGCTGGTACTGTATCCCTGCTCGGCCGGCTTTAGGATCAACACACCTTTGACCCTCAACCCTTAAACCCGAAGCCTCAAATCCCTGAACCCATTTGGTTGCGGCTCTTTTGACCTCGAGTCTTCGTGCACAACACTCCAACTGGTTCTTCGGTTTGACCAGCTCTGCCTCAGAAGGCGTGAAGGTTGACAGAATCAGATTTGGCCTCTACGAACCAAACCTCCTTTTCGGCTTGATAGGATTCGGGAAAGGTTCCAGGTCCAGCCACTTAGAAGGCCTTCAACAGATGCTGCCGAAAGAGCCGGAATGACAAGGAGAGCCCTCGCGTTTCTTACCCTCGCGTTTCTTACCCTGACCCAATGCCTGCCCAACGACCGGGCATCGGCAGAGGCCGCCACCCCCCCTCCACACCACAAGTATTTTGGACATTCAGCGCAGTGTTCATGATGTCTGCGACCCGAAATCGTTTGAGGTTGAGGAACCTCGACAATCGAATTCAAATCCAAAAACTCCGAAGCCACGAGCTGGGGCCTCTAAATAAAGCACTTCTTACACTTCACGGCTCATGCTGCAATCTGGTGCCAGTTTCCGACTAAACATTAGTTTGGGTTGAGGCTTCGGTTTTCCTCTGCTTCCCTCCAGAGTTGGCCGCTGTATCTATACATGCCTTTGGGGCGAGCCGTTGGCCTTTCCAGAAACTTCCCTGTTTTTTCGCGGCTCCAGGATAGTTTATTGTATGAAATTGTGCTATGGCCTTCCGTCGTTTTGTGTTGGGCAGGACGCTACATCTCGCTTTGAAAATCACTACAAAGAGCCAAAAGAAGGTTGTCTCCTTAAAGCCCTGAAACCTGAAGACTGCCAGACTGCTCCAGGGCCTCGATCCTTAAAACCGAGGGTGTAGAGGTTCTCGTGTAATGCGAGGTACAGCCTATTTTTAGTAGGCCGCAACCAAAAGCTCACGCTGTTCCAGTATCTGTCCCGCGCACCATGTCGGTCACTGTGGAGGTCGGGTTGCTCAGTGGGAAGACAGTTTCTTTGAGAGCCGACCTGGATAAACAGGTCGACACATTGCGGCATCGGGCGCAGACCGCACTCGGAGTTGGAAGAAGTCGACTGCTAGACCAATCTGGCAGAGTTCTAGATGTATGTGCACTGGTCAAGGATTCCAAGTTGCAGAATGGTGAAAGACTGACGCTGCACTTAAGCCAAGTTCAGGCGTGTGCCACCGATAGCACTTTTGCTGCAATTCTCGGCGATGGCTCTGTCGTGGCCTGGGGTGTTGCTGACTATAGTGGGGACAGTAGTGCTGTGCAGGATCAGCTGAAGAATGTGCAGCAGATCCAGGCCTCTCACTCTGCTTTTGCTGCCATTCTTGGCGATGGTTCTGTGGTGACTTGGGGTGAGAGCAACTATGGCGGCGACAGTAGTGCTGTGCAGGATCAGCTGAAGAATGTGCAGCAGATCCAAGCCGCTGGTAACGCTTTTGCTGCCATTCTTGGTGATGGCTCTGTGGTAACATGGGGTTCTGCGCACCATGGTGGTGACAGTCGTGCTGTGCAGGATCAACTAAAGAATGTGCGACAGATTCAATCCAATGAGTATGCTTTTGCTGCCATTCTTAGTGATGGCTCTGTCGTGACATGGGGCGATGCTGGCTACGGTGGTGCCAGTGGTGCTGTGCAGGATCGGCTGAAGAATGTGCAGCAGATCCAAGCCTGTCTCACTTTCGATGGCGGCGCTTTCGCTGCAGTTCTTGGAGATGGATCAGTCGTGACCTGGGGTGATGCTGGAAGCGGTGGTGACAGCAGCGCTGTGCAGGACCAGCTGAAGAACGTGCAGCAGATCCAGGCATCTACCGGCGCTTTTGCTGCCATCCTCGGTGACGGATCGGTCGTGACATGGGGGCATGCTGCCTATGGGGCGGACAGTGGTGCTGTGCAGCATCAGCTCAAGACTGTGCAGCAGGTCCAAGCCTCTAGCCGAGTTAGTGGCTTCGCTTTCGCTGCAATTCTTCAAAGTGGAGCTGTAGTGACTTGGGGTGATGCTGACAATGGTGGTGACAGTACTGCTGTGCAGGATCAGCTGACAAATGTGAACCAAATCCAAGCCACTTGCCGCGCTTTCGCCGCAATTCTTGACAACGGATCTGTAGTCACCTGGGGCGATGCTGACTTCGGTGGAGACAGTGGTTTTGTGCAGGAGCAGCTGAAGAATGTGCAGCAGATCCAATCCTCATGCCGCGCTTTTGCTGCCATCCTCGGCGATCGTTCTGTGGTAACCTGGGGTGATGCTGCCTATGGTGGTGACAGTAGTAACGTGCAGGACCAGCTGAAGAATGTGGAGCAAATCCAGGCCACTGTCGGCGCTTTTGTTGCCATTCTTGGCAATGGCTTTGTGGCGACCTGGGGCAACGCTGCCCATGGTGGCAACAGTAGCGCTTTGCAAGACCAGGCTTTCTGAGTCCAGATGAAATATTGGCAGACATCGGCCCAAAACGCGACGAGAGGCTGGCGGTACATGACAGTTTCAGAATTTACTTACTTACTTGCTTGCTTGCTTACTTATTTACTTACTTACTTACTTACTTACTTACTTACACACACACACACACATATATATATATATATATATATCATTGTATATCTATACAGGATACTTTATATACTGGTAGCCCCTTAGCCCTTATTGTAGGATGGCAGAGAAATTCAGGAAGAGACTAAGTGATCATCTCTGTTCAGCGGCTTCGAAGTTCTGATGCTGGAGGTGCCACGTTCCGTTCCCGGCGCCGATCACCATACTTATCATACTTTCAGACTTCATATCGGGTTTGTGCAGTCTTTATAGGGTTTATGCAGTCTATATAGGGCTTACGCAGTTTACGCACTGCGATCAGAATTCAGGGGGCTATTGAATGGGCTACTGTGGGGGATGCTTATCAAGCCCGTGGATGCCTCCCGAGTTGAGTTCAAACTCGGCAGATGCTTCGTGCTTTCTTCTAAGGTAGCCTTTAATTTGATGGCAAGGCCTCCAGTCAAGTTTGATTGTTCGCGTCCGTGATGACGGTTTTACACGCAAGGAGTGTGACGAAGACGACGACGTCTGCTACCACTATCCTGCTGCTGCTACCACACAACACTGATACCTAACTCTGCAGCTTCCACTGCGGCGCTTTGTATCCTCACTAGGCCCCGCCCCTGAACCTAATTGCCTGCATGGTGCGCGTGTGCGAGTCGAAACTCAATTTCAACTGTGCCGTTCGAAGCATACGCATGGGTCTCTGGGTTCCAGTTACGAAGGAAACTATTGCAAATTGAAGACCTGCAACTCCGGTACATGCTTCTCAGGTGACATCTTCAGGTAGCGTCCTCGCCCATGTGGCGGTTCTGCGAGAGGCAAGGTACGACATACGTCATATTTACAGAGGTTGAGAGCCCATCGAGTTTGTTAGTCCACGCTTCGACTTGTTCGCCGCACCCAACTCCCAGCCCCACTGCAACGTCCAACTCGTGACTTGAATATGCTGTGCATCGCTGAGGAAGCTGAAACCACGACAACGGAACGCACTCTTTTCACAAGCATGCATCTCTGCAGGCTTGTCCAAGTCTTCCTGCAATCAAGTCGCGTTCTTCTCACGGTGTCTTGGCCAGAGAGTGAATCTGTCGATGGTGGCTTTGCATTGGCCTGTGGGGGCGGGTGTTTCGCTGACACCTCGGGTTTGGAGTCTGGCTTCGAGCAGATCAGCAGCATATAGGGTATCTCAATGGCCGAACCGTTGCTGCAAGTGCTGACCAGCTGAAGACGGCTGACCAGGATCAGATTGTTTTGCTGTTGGTACACGGGTTGTATTGGAATTATTGGGGAGAGATCTCGTTCAGGTACTACCATATGTCAACACAATAACAAATAGTCCTTCGCGCCCTAAACCACAAACGCAGAACCTCCTCCTCTCCTCCTCTGGGGAACTCTCAACTCTCGGCATTTCTTCTTCAAGCATATATGCCTAACGACTTAAGGCTACGACTACTGGTTGCTTTTATGCTCGAGAACTTGTGCTACCTACGAAACTGGCAGATACCTGGTCGAACAGCATGGAACAAAAGACAATCGTGATCCAGGGAGGCCTTACTCTCCTTTCTGCAAGATCCACATGCCTCGTAGGATAGCTGCATGTGGTGACCACTTGGCCGGCACTTACGAACTGACATGCTCAACGAGGGGCCTGAAGGTTATGCTTCTCCTGAGCCTAATGCCTAATGTTTGCTGGTGGCAGGGCTGATGACTGCATCAACTCTTTGGCTGGCACCTAAGCCAGTTATGTAGGTGACATCGTCCGGGAGGAGGTGCCGTACAGCCAGGCCACAATGCAACTGGGCTGGCCTTTCAACGCCATACCGCATCAGCAGGTTTGGGGGTTGGAGATCTCTGCAAGCCGTTGTTCGCCCGGTGTTGTCGGTTCTCAGCAAAGCAGCGCCCAGGCAACACTTCACATCACTCCTGTACTGCGGCTGCTTCGCAGAGGGCTTGCAAATCTATGAGATGCTCGATGGCATGAGGTGTTCTATACTCCGCTGGAACCATTCATGGCATTCTCATTCGGGTTTGCCGAGGGTATAGCTACGTGCATGAACAAACCTCCCGGCACGTGTGTTGGAGTATGTCTCGATCCAGCAGAAGACGTCAACTCTGCATTCTTGGAAGCGACATCATCTCTCGTCTGGCCCACTCTCATTATATAATGACCTATTCCTAACTAGCGGCAGCTACAGCTTTCTTTATTCACTTCCTGCTTGAATGTGTTATCTGTTTTCGTGGACTGAGGGGTGACTGCTCCACTTTGGTCGAGTTGGCAGATGCCTCCATTTGCTTCAGCGCACAGGCCAGGACATGGGCGTGTTTGGTCTGGGAATGCAGGGTTTGCGAAACAGTGAAAAGTTGGAGGGGGGTGGAGTCAAGAGCCTCCTTGAGGCGAAATGCAGGGAGGGATGCACATGCAAGCCGGCGAATTAGTCTCAGCGCTTTCCCTTGCGAAGGCGCTTATACCAATGCTGACAATGCACCTGCGGCTCCTCGGTGTCCATTCCAAGAATGCTTTGGATTCTCGGTTACTTCTTCAGAACCCAAAAGGCATTGCCAGGAAAAGGCGACGACTGACTACCCCCCTGGTCATTGTAGACAAGGCAGACTCCCAGTGAGCGGCTGGCGCATTTGATGTTGCCAGTAGAGGGTTCAGGGTTTGGAGGTTTAAGATCGCACATATGGGGAAACGGTCGAGAAGGTCAGGCTGGGAGGGTTTTGACATCGCTGGCGCCATCTCACACCAACAGCGCTCTCTCACAGTTCACATCATTCTGAAGCAAGACGGCTTCAACATTCGAAGCTCCTGCGCCGACACGGCTGCAGTCTTCGAAGTACGCATTCTTGATCGGCAAACCTGACAGCCTCGAAGCGCCAACGCTGCAGTTATTTGGCCTGTCTTCTTCAAACCCCCACTAGATGCAGAAGGTCGAGCAAGCCGCAAGCATTCCAACGTCTGAGCCCTGGAGAAGAGAGAAGCCGCAGAGAGGTGCCAGCTCCAGCAAGCAAGCTTCGGACCCATCTGCAGCTTTGCCCTCCGCCACGGTCATGAATCTTGGATTTCTTCGGCAAGGCGTTGTATCGCTTCGAGTGGGTGTTGTTGAGTCTGAGTTGGCAGTCATCTCTCCCAGGTTGCTGCTGTGATTTGTGCGCCTGCTTCGTTCGGGCACACGCTAAAGGCACAAATAGCTTCTGGAAGTCTTCTGAATGTAATGCATGCGCGGTACAAGGACACTCTCCTCGATGACTGCCGCCACTTGGAGACTGTTCAAAACCACGTGGCTTCCCCCCCAATTCCCCACACCGCTGACTTCGATTACAATTACACCGCTTACCCCGCACGATAGCTGCTAGTCATGGGTTCCTGAAGCCGACTCCGATCACGACAAGCATGCATGGCCTTAGCCTTAGAGCCTTAGAGTAAGAAAAACCTGGACATCCAATGTTGCAACCCTGTGGAACCTCATCCTGCATGTCCTGCCCTGGCAGTTAGACTTAGAGTCTTACGGTCTCCAAGGTTCAACACGGGAGTTGCAGAGTTGAATAGGCGACCGTGGCATTGATCCGAACAGAGGCACCACCGATTCCTAAACCCGAAACCCTAAACCCCAAAACCCTAAACCCTATAAACCCTAAACCCTACCCTAATCCTAAGAATCCCTCATGTCTGAGAAGGCTATTTCGCTCGGCGCTTCTACCATGAGGACCTGGGCATCTCGGCGATTGAACCCTCGCATAAACAGTTGGAGTACGTCAATTTGGGGGTTTCCGAAAATAGGGGGCCCTAATATAGCACCCTAAATAGTAGGATCCTTATTATACGGACCCCCAAATAAGGTACCCTAATTTTCAGAAACTGCCATTTAGAGTAATAGGGCTTCCGGGCTGGATGGCGCAAAGCTCAACCAGTGATCAGAATCTTCCATCACTGGCATCCAGCCGTGTAGTTTGACTCCCCGGGTGTTTGTTCACGATGTCGTCATAGCTCCTGACGCCCGGGGCAGCCAGGAGCATACGGTCAGCCGAACACCCGCAAACTTGCGACGTTTCCACACCCAATGACACCCAATTCCACGACTGCTGTGAACGGCTTCACCGGAAGAAAGCAGAAGGTTCATATTGGAGTATGCGTATTATAATTCGTCATATCTCACTAAATTGGAGTCTATAATATATATATATATATTTAGAAGAGTATTAAAGAGTATCTTATGTTTGACTAGATCATATTATTACTATTATTACATGCCTGAGGTTCAGAGTCTTGGGAGGCCTTCCACCACAGTCTGCCTTCCAGCGTCCAGCGCCGCTTGCCACTGCAGAACGAGGGTTCAGGGTTTTGGGTTTTGGGCTTCAGGTTGTAGGGTTTAGGATTATTGGTAATTATTAGGGTATAGGGTTTAGGACTCAGGGTTTAGGGTTTAGGGGTTTAGGATTTAGGTGTTTAGGGTTTAGGCTACAAGTGATTAGGAATTAGAGGTTTAGGGTTTTTGAATTTCAGAAAGTTGTCTCGTACCAAGTTGTGCCTGAAGCTTGGAGCCGCGAAGTGGCCGGTCTCGCATCTCAGTCATGAGTACTGTCTTGTGGGTCAAGCTGGGCAGTAAGGCCAGCAGCCGAGTCCGTTGTTAAAAAAAGGTTTTGGATTTTATTAGGGCTTAGGATTTAGGGTTTTATGGTGGAGCACTGAGGAAAGACCAATCTTATCGGCGCTGGTTGATGGTCCGATACTGTCCGAGTGTGAGACTCCAATCTGGGGGGCTCAGGAATTGAATATAATACAACATGTTACAATATACGATAAGAATAAGAGAATATAAAAATAGTAATAATGATAATACAATCTAGCATCTTTCTGCTTCGTGCCGGCCACGAATTCGTGCTCGTTGCTGGCCGCGAGATATATCGCAGGATTTCCAGGTTTTCTACTTGAGGGTAAGTCGCGCATCGAGGGCTCAGCGCTCGTAATATCAGCGAGCTTTGTGAAAGGAGGCAGTATCTGTTTGTTGTGAGACTGTGGTCAGTGAGCCACCCTCGTGCCGTAGGTCGCAGGACTGTCACTTGTACTTGCGCAAGTACCTAGGCGACATCTGCTTGTCGCACTCCAATCTTGACACCAAAGCCCCATGAAGCCGAATGTTCTACTAGTATTCGTCATCGTCCCATAGACCTCATGCGCCCATGAACTTGTCCTCCATGCTGACTTCGCAGCAAGGTGAGAGCTAGCAACATAGTAAGCTCGTGATGCAGGACTGTGCATGATCGAAGGCCCTTGACATCAAACAGTTCAATCCGCGCTGAAGCCTGCTTTCGGGAGCTTTCAACTCTATGCACGTACCTGCATTAGAAACCTTGGCATCCGATGCAGCATGACACTTCAGAGGGACCTTGTTCATAAAGCATGCGGGGGAAGCAGCTCTCCCGTTCTAAATGAAGCCTTCTTGGGATTCTGAGAGCCTCTGTACTGCATTCAACATATGCCCCGAGCCTTGTCTCAGGCTTCCTGCGCGCCGAGGTCTCTTCTGAGCACCGGTTTGCGGAATAGGTTGTAGCGCACGGAAGCATGGAAACCTTTGCAAGTCCTCGTCTGTCATGTTCTGTTATCATTATTTATGTTACGCTATGTGGTGCTTCCTTAGGTCATTTTGTGCTGTGTTACGTCATGTGTTTGCATGTTTGTTCACTTCTTTTTGTGTGCATCTTTGAATACTCCGGAATATGTGCAGCTGCTGTAATGTGGGCATGTTCAATGGGGGGCCACCCCTTCAACCATTCATGCCGGGCGTCTTTACCATGTTATCCGTGACCCGCTTGACCTTGGTTCGATTGGGGGCCTTGGGTTGGCTTGGGGTCTGGGTGGGCTTGGCTAATCAACTTACTATAGTAGAAGGTCTTAAGGTTTTGAGGGGTTTGGGGGTTGTCTTGGGGTCTGGGTGGCTTGGACTAAAGTTAGGGTTTTGGTGGATCTAATGGGTTTGGGATCTTGGTGGGTTTGACGGCAGCATTCGTCGTTTTGACTAGGGTTGGAGTCGGGTCAGGTTCTTGAGGAATAAGGATACTGTAACCAGTTTCACCTTCGATAACAAAGTCCCAAAGCATGCTTGCTTGCGAGCTTCTGTTACAGAGTACGGCTGGCAAGGCTCATGCCTTCAAACAGGCTGTGCATCACAGTCCCGCAAATGCAGACAGTGCGAGAAGATCGTCGTGAGTGAGGAGCTGGTGGTGGTTGAACGGCAGGAAAGTCAGGACTTCAAGAGTGTGTGCAGCATGCAGAGCCAGAGGCAGATAGACTGAAAATGTAGCTTCAGGCATCAGGCTTCAAGATCGGCCCGGCAGTTCAACCCGTTCCAGCCAAGACACTGGTTGGTAAAAGCGTGCGCAAGGCTGCAAAGATCGGCCGCAAAGGTGACGCTTGAACAGCAGGTGCTGCTGATTTCAGGCTTCCATCAGTCCTGCTTTGCCCTTTTGCGGAGCATGAGTTGTCGATGGCTGCCTCCAGAAGCATACTATGTAATATACTGATGAATGTTCGGGCCTGAGAATTCACGATATTAAGGGGATATCACTTCGCGTCGTTTTTGACGGCTTCATGGACCATGAATTCTGGCCCAGCATCTCATGCAGCACCTGCCTGCACCGAGCATCAGCAGCCGCAGCTTAGCAAAAAGTGGTACAGTGCGCATGCCGATAAGCGTTCATGTGCCTCTGCGGCCTTCCCTGCCAGTCATTGGCATCGGTGACCTTTGTTTGTACTTCTGTGATTAGTTGTCGTTTGTTGAGTATGTGCGGATGTGCAGTACTCTTTGCTGCGAGTCGCAGACCAAAGTGTCTTCTGACACGACCATGGTCGGCATGTCGGAAGAATACGTCGTTGGGATGTGTTTTCCGGATACCTGTGGGTTTTATGGGACTTGCGTGCAACAAGCATAGTATGCCTGGCTTCAGACCCCGACGCGCCCAGCACTGGTTTGGGCATATTTTTAGTGGATGGCACCAACCAGAAAACAGAAAACATTGCGTTCAGGATTCATTTTTTATTCAACACGTGAGGTTCTTCCTCTTCCCTGCGGCTGCACCAATCGCCAAGCCTGGCCCTCGTGACGTTGAAGCCTTCTTCGTCTAGGGGCTTTTGTCACTGACTGGGCGCGAGGATGCTTGCACACCTTGAAAGCATATATCAGCTCTTACGGAGGTCCACGTTGACACTGCCAGAGCGAGTGAGGTCACTTGGCTCGAAGTGCGCCAGGCTGTTGTGTAGTGTAATGTAGTAAAATGTTACATGATATAGTGGAATATAGTTTAATTCAGTACAGTGTAGTATAGTCTAATATATGCATCAATGATTCGGGAGTTAACATTGAGTGCGGTCTCGCGCGAATCACGGACCTATCTTTGCGGGAACCGCTAAGTTCCGTAGGCCGTAAGGGAGTCCTGGTCTCCCGCTGAAAATACAGGCTCGGAGTCGTTAGGCATCGGCAAGTCCTAGTTTCAATCCTGCAAACGTGCGCGTAGGACCAGCTAGTGTTTTATTTTTGGGCCGTGGAGCCGGGCCAACATTCGCAAGAATCTCAGGCTCGTATAAGGCAATGGATCATCGCCCCTTGCCACTCCCCAGGCAGTGGATGCTTCACCAGTTAAAGGAAGGGTACATGGCTTGGCAGGGAGAAGCCCGTACTTTCCGAAGGGGCGCGCTGAAGCTAGCCGATATGGAAGTGATGAAATGTGGTAATGTTGGTGAGTACCGAAGGAATGTGTTTCAACAGAGATCTCTTTATGGAGCCCTTTGGCATAAACACTGTTACGGGATGGAACACTGGGTTGACAGTAGGATCCTCAATCCGTGTCGGAAATTCGAATTGCGAGTTGTTGATCTCTTCATGCTCCCTGCAGATATTCTTTTCTTACAGTATCAAGCACAGAGAATCGCAGGCCTGCAGAGCTGACATGCTGCCAAGAGAACCTGCGGTGTCCAGCATATAGACAACGCAAAGCACCTGCTCGTAAAGGAATCGCTCTCAACCTACGCCACAGCGGTAACAGTAGCATCAGCATCAGCATCAGCAGCACCAGCTTCGTGACCATCGTTGTCATCACATCCTAGGCTGTCCTCTCCTTGGTACGTTTGGGTTTCATGTCGGCCTCGCCGCGGCCCACCACCAGCAGCGCCACCAAACGACACAACCACCGATACGAGTAACAAGCACTGTCATCACCGTCGTCGCCAGCGTAGTGATCAACCTGTTTCTCAAGCTGAG